TCTCTCGACTTTTCGTACGATTCAACAGGTTTAGAGGCTCGACAGGCGATTGTGCGTGAGGGGACTTTGAGGTAAGGATGACCGTTGTGTATCAGGACTAAAATTGCCACAGATTAGATAGATTTGGCAGAATATATGGCCATTTTTGTTTAGTTCAGTGTGGTGATCTACATCGGACAGAATATATGATATATATTCTCCCTGCATCTATTAAAGGCTCTTTCTTTCTGTGGTATGAGTAAAACATGAAAATTGTATCGAAGTATGGAGGAGATAAGCAAATTATCCCCAATCATTTACGCCCAGAAGACGACGATCGTAAATAAATTGTTTGTTTGCTGCAACACTTGGTAGGAAAAGGGTCATCAAGGGGTTGGAAGGATCTTGTTATTAGCTTTGGTACATCAAAAACGTCGCCAAAGCCACTTTTATTTTACGATGAAGGATAATAGGACTCATCCAGAGCAGTACGTCCCATATTGGTCTGGATGAGTAGCAGTGTTGGATTGATATGTAATCGTTGATGTGTAACATTAATGGTGTACTGTAAAACCCTCCATCCGCCTCGGTCCAAGATTTTCCCGCCTTGCGGAGTCCGGTAGTCCGACATCTGGATTCGTTTATAGTAAGGGGCGGTTCACTAATGCCTGTGTTTGTCACGCTGAAATGATAATCATTTCAAATCATACTTTGAAATCTGTGAAATTTGAGCAAACAAATATATTTCATTGGACAGTGATTCATTTATTAGGGTGGTTCACAAACAAGAGAAGACTTGTAATATTGTATGCCCAGTGTCAATGGTGACAGCCCGCGAGGTCTTTCCTAGTACTACTACTAGGATAAAATTGTCTTTGATCCTGCTTCGACCTGGATCAAATGTATTCAGCTCGATCCCAACAATTTTATCCCAGTTGACCAAAGACATAAATGTGTAGAACATGTGAGATATTTGCATGTTATGTTTTTATTTTGCATTTCTTTGCTTTTATTTTCACAGGGCTATGTTTTGTTTACCTCTAGGGGAGGGGGGTCTAGGCACCGGAAATCGTATTGTAACGGTTATCTAGACCTCAAATATTACAATCTGACTCCTTATACTCGGTTGGGTTAAGGCGGCCTAGGCTGATATTGATGTTCGAGTCTGGGTGTGTGTCTGCACGATGGCCACAGACTTGTTTTGAACCCGAATCATGTTCCACCATGTTCGATATGACGTCATTCGAATAGAATGCGTGTTCGAATTCTGGTTACCGGCGGTCATTTGCATATTTCCCCTGTAAACCCGCGTTGTAACGCATTTTATTCACGGAGTATGACTTAAACGGCTTTACACGCAGCTGAAAACAACATAATTGATATTTAGAGTAATCCATGTTTATGTATTATCACTTTCTTATTAAATTTGTCCGAGGCTATTTTGCATAGATTTGGATGTTTTCTTCGTGGGGCGATTTTTCAAACCAAAAATGGCCAAAAGTAGCTGTTTCTTGTGATTTTGACCCAAAACTAAAACAAAATACCCATTTTAAACACAATAGCCTCGGACAGAAATAACTTGTATGGGGTTGGCTTTCATCTTGTAAAATATAATGATGGAAGGTGCGCTTAAATTCATGAAACAAACGGCTATTTTTAACCAAAATGTGTATTTTTATTTTAACCCAAAATCCAGGTGTAGAAAAACTGAAATACCCTTTATTCAATGCGTTTCAAGTACAACTAAAACTGTGTGAAGTTTTGTCGCGGTGCGACCAAGCTATCAAAAGTTACAGGCATATGTATAGAATAATTCCCAAAAGCCTAGGACGCCTTAACCCAACCAAGCAACTATATATGTAATCTGATAGCACACAAAAGAGACCTTTGACGTATTCAATCTAACATTACATTTTAATTTATGCCATTTTTTCAGTACCAATCTTGCACATCATTGTGCAAGTGTTGCGCTGCATTTATTTTTTTATTGTATACTTGATTGTCACATAATGGGCAGACTGATGATCAATGTGATTGGTGGTGCACGTTCTTCTTCTACATTGTGAACAGGCCACACACTGGACTTTTGAGGAGCTTCATACTTGCCTCCAGGACTCCTAGCACCAGAGTGAGGTTCCTGGGTTGGACTATTCTACTGTCAGATAGGGGTGTTCTGTATCAAGACTGGTCTACTTCTAAGAAAGGGGGGATTTGTCTGGCAGTTCACATGTTTCACAGTGGCACATATGTTTCACAGTTTCACAACAATTGGTAAAGATCAGACAAATGCACTTTTTGGTCATTTTAGTTTCCACTATGACTATATAATTTTAATTTGAAAATAAACGTCCTTTGTTAATCTGATGTTGGTGCATCCATTGTGACAGTAATGTTCACAGTATTAAAATGGCAGTCAACATCATCAAGGTGTCAAACTGTTACAAATTTTACTCTCATTAGCTGTTAAAAACTTTGAGACAGGCTCTTACCTTGCAGTTTTTTACTTGGAATACTTGGAATTCTGGTTGTTAAACCCTTGCTGGACCTCGCATGCACACTGATGGTTGTACATCTTGTCATTTCAGTTGTTTGAAGAATACCAGTACAGTAGACATGGCATCAACAAGAAGTGTGCAGCATTCTGATGATGGTAGGAGGGAATCTGGAGTGGATTCTGCTGACACCATCATCAACCGGAAAGGAGCAGGAGCAGGAAAGGGTGGGAAAGTGTCTCGCCGAGGTGGAAAAGTACACAAATGTGAGGAGTGCAGCAAGACGTTCAGCATACTGAGTCTTCTGAAGACCCACATGCGGAGCCACACTGGGGAGAAACCCTACCAGTGTGCAGAGTGCAGTAGGAAGTTTAGCCAGCTGGGTCATATGAAGATACACATGCGGAGTCACACAGGGGAGAAACCCTACAGGTGTGAAGAGTGCAGCAGACAGTTCAGTCAGCTGAGTCATCTGAAGTCCCACATGCGGAGCCACACTGGGGAGAAACCCTACCAGTGTGAAGAGTGCAGCAGGAAGTTTAGCCAGCTGTGTAATCTGAAGATGCACATGCGGACTCATACAGAAGAGAAACCTTACAGGTGTGAGGAGTGCAGCAGACAGTTCAGTCAGCTGAGTCATCTGAAGTCCCACATGCGGAGCCACACTGGGGAGAAACCCTACCAGTGTGCAGAGTGCAGCAGGAAGTTTAGCCAGCTGTGTAATCTGAAGATGCACATGCGGAGTCACACAGGGGAGAAACCTTACGGGTGTGAGGAGTGCAGCAGGCAGTTCAGTACTCTGGGCTATCTAAAGATACACATGCGGAGCCACACTGGGGAGAAACCCTACCAGTGTGAAGAGTGCAGCAGGAAGTTTAGCCAGCTGTGTAATCTGAAGATGCACATGCGGAGTCACACAGGGGAGAAACCTTACGGGTGTGAGGAGTGCAGCAGGCAGTTCAGTGAGCTAGGAAGTCTAAAGATACACTTGCGGACTCATACAGGAGAGAAACCCTACACCTGTGAGGAGTGCAGCAGGCAGTTCAGTCAGCTGAGTCACCTGAAGTACCACATGCGAACCCACACAGGGGAGAAACCCTACACCTGTGAGGAGTGTCACAGGAAGTTCAGCCTGCGGGGTAATCTGAAGAAACACATGCGGACCCATACAGGAGAAACATAAAGAGGTGTCAGAGGAAGCAGACGGTATAGTTTATTCAGTTCCCATAGGAAGCCTAAGCAGACCTAGGTACACTGTAAGAACTGTGCAGGTGTAAGGAGAGCAGCAGAATGGCTTCATTCAAGACAACTTGGATAACGTAGGAAGAGTCAGACACTACAACTTTTGTCACTGGAGAAGGCATGATGTTTTTTTTTGTACGTGTACTCGACTAAATGTCCATGTTGTAGTAATGTGTGCACTTACTTTGATGACTAATTTCACATAGGCATGTTTTGTTCACCTTTTGTTTTCATTCATTTATTCAAGTTATTTACATTATTTACATTACAAACTAACTTTTTCTTGGACTTACTAGTAACTTGACCACACCAAGTAATTATGTCATTGACTTAGCCTGTATCTAAGGAAGCAGTGCAGCATTTATATGTTAAATTTTTATAAACATATTACTGTTTTCAGCAGGTGTTAGTTTCTATCTCATGGTTAATAGCTAGGGCTTTTTATTTTCTAATTTTGAAGAAATACATTACACATTGAAGCAAATTTAGCCTCAATATAGTCCACAAGTAAACTGTGACTTTACGTTAAAGTCATATAATGCAGAATTTTTCTTGTATGTAGTCATTAGTTCTCTTAGTTTGACATTACTGTCTGTTCAATATGTTGTAGATACATGTAGTTGGATGTACATTCTTAGGTCTGATTTAGATATGATAGACTGATATTAATAGATCTAGAATAGTGAAGGATGTTGTTCTCGTTTATTGTTACTATTAACTACAATGTTATCTTTGTTCTTATACTGTTCAAACCAGGCCCATGTTGTGGATCTTGTTGAAGTTCATGTAGTTCTACACATGTTTTTTTTTTGTTATATTTACATTTGATTGTTAAAGTCTTGTGTATTGCAAATAAAGTGTCATTTCTGATTTGCGTTGTTCAATATCCTTGACCAGTTAGTCACATTTGCAAAAGAGGAAGAGAAACGTTTGGACACTAGGCTTTATAAGCAATACCCTCGGTAACATTGTGACAACTACTAGTCCTGTTAAGTATGTTAATATGTACTGTAACATTAACGGACGACTATGGCTGTTTTCTATATATACTGACTTTCAATGTAAATATAACAGTTACCTGTACTAAGTTCATTGAAAACTTAAAGAGAAAACTTGCTACCTGACGCATGAAAGCCGACTGTAAATGAAATGAAAATTGAGTTGACCAAAGTCACAGTACAACTACACCATCATGCGGAATTATCAAGTAGTGCACGTGCGTAAAGTGCACACTCAGTCATCATTCCCCCGACCGCTCGGACGTTTACCCGACCACCCCCGCGAGGATTTGGTATCGCCCGATTGAGAGGACGCGTCGTGAACAGAGAAAATGGCGGGTAGTTTGGACCGGTTCTGTGGATCAACGTTTTGGGTGAGTATTCAGCGTGTGTGGATGCTTACAAGAAAGCAGGATTGTGTTAACAACATGTATGTTTGCATTCTGTTCTTAAGTCTTGCGTCAGGCCATTTCTTTAGATGCAAAAGCGTTGTGACCTACTTTCGCCACGGCCACCGTTTCATGTCGGAGCCGGCAAAAGAGAAGAAAATATGTTAAAAGTTTCGTAAGCAAATTATGCTGTCTAGAAATAAAAGAAAATGTCCACATCATGTAGGAGCTCCCTATCGTGCTTTTGTAATATAGAGTGGCATATAAAATCAGCTGTTTGTGAAACTAACATGTCACGTATGCAAAGACCAAGCCAGTCTAGAGAGTGAAGGTGTTGGAAGCAAATTGGATGAACTGTTGGTGTTTACTAGATTATACCAATTACTAACAAGTGTGCAACTTCTGTGTACTGTGTAGGTTGCACATACTACAGTGCTCACCCAGCTACTAGTGACTCAGCACAAATTCCTTGTAGTGATTGATGGAACTTTGAAGTTTGAGTTCTGAAAGTTCTAGAAGTTTGCAACGGCTGATGCTGAAACACGGAAGAAAGCCATGCTCCCACACCCGAACAAGAAGAAGAGCTCAAAGAAATCTGAGGTACTGACAATTTCATAATTGCAAGTACATGTACATGTAACGTTACATATTAATTAATGTTCTTGAATTGGCTTGGCATGGTGTAGTAAAGTACTGTAAATAGACTGGCTGCAATGGCTGCCGCTGCATATACAGCATTTACAGGTGGTTGTAACGGTATGCTGCCATCTGCCATTTACATTCTGATTCCACTTACACTGTACATTTTCACCTTTAAACATGGTAAAATATCAATTATTGTATTCATACACTTATACTATAGTTTATTTAGATATTTAAACAGTGATAAATGTATTACACGCCATCCTACTGTAGAAATTGAAGGCAGCCGAGCGACGTTACTTTGAGGAAGCGAACAACGAAAACAGCGAGTTCTGGAAACCACTGACAATAGAAGATGAGTCTGACTGGCTGAACAACCACCCAGAGTCGGGGCAGACATTTGATGATTGGTAGGTTTTCAAACTATTTTTCTCGCAATGCTGAAACCAATTTAATTAAAAGACTTGACAGAAGGGTTATTGTTTAATGACAGTGTAACATGATGAAATTGTTTCCATTGTAGGTTTACTAAAGAGTACCTCCAACACAGAGTCACTCGCCTACGTCGTACCATCTACATCCTTCCTCTGGGGCCATTTCCACCTGGGCATGTAGGACAGTCTGCAGCTGCAGCTGCAGGTACAACCACAGGTGAAACAGGTGTTCTACATTTCTTTGATAGAAAATAACTACATGTACATTACAGTTAGGGCTGCATGTGTACAGGTACACAGTACTGGTACTGTACCACAAAAATTTCTCATATCTCATATCAAGTACAGATCCAAAATACCTAGCTGGTCCCCCATGAGTCCCAGAGACAGGGCAGTACTCCTCACCATGGTTGAGGGGAGATTGGTTAGTGTTCGGGGGCCATATTCAGCTACAATATATGTGTGACAGGAGCTAATAACAATACACTGTAAAATGTGACTACAGAAGCTGGTGGCAGTTCTTCAAACAGAGGTGCTGCAGGCGGGGCCAAGGGCGGGGCCTGTCCAAGTTCAAGGTCAGACAAGGTCCTCCTGACGTGGCTGCAGAAGTTCTGCCAGTGTTTCTTCCTGGGCGTGGACGTCAAGTTTCTGGACCCGGTGCGGGTTCGCATGGTTCGGTGCCGCACAAGAATCAATGAGGACACAAAGGTAACTTTTCTTTAACCTTCATTTAACTTTGAATATGTACTAACATGTTCCAACAGATGTTCTTCACCCTCAAGTTGGAGTAATGGACCCTGTGGTGTTGGGACTTGCATTATGTATCAGGACAGTTGGAGAGGCTGACCACCATGTATATGAATGTGTTCCAGTCAGAATTAACAGAGCAGTAGTTTGTTGAGCTAGACCATCCCTATGTGAAGGTGTAAAAAATATGCATTTGCTTTGCAGATATTACCTTCAAGTTTTCTATCTTTCCCATAGCAATGGCAGCTGCTGTCCAAGGACATCCTGGACTACCTGGTGAGTAAGAAGCCGCATGATGCCATCTGCCTGGTCGCCGTCACCATGTTGGACCTGTACCCCAGCGACTCCTGGAACTTCGTCTTCGGACAAGCCTCACTCGTTACAGGGTCTGTATTTCTATTGCCATGGTGACATGATGTTGTACATATACACAAATGTATGTTCAATTTTTTTGAAAATATCTGAAGGCCTGTGAAGATACCCTGGAATGAGACTTATTACAGGTACAGATTAAGGCCAGTACATCTGTGCTGGGCATGGGAAGATCTGAAATTAAAGTTTAAATACTTGAATGATCAAGTGGTTGATTTTCCAAATTTGACAATCTCTTAATGTGACTTCAATACTCCTAAACTTTACGTTGTTGACCTGATTTACAGCCATTAGCATGAAATATTAGCATTTTTCTATGCTTAACACCATATTTGCACTACACATTGTCAAGTTACCTTATATTGAGAAAAATTCTAAAAACTTTGCTGTCATGTCCTATGACAGACTCAGCCTGTAAGAATATTATTGCTTTAATGATTAGTCCAAACTTATGAACTCAAAGATTTTTTCCAAATTTCTTTCCAGATGCGGAGTATTCAGCTTCGCTCGATACGATGATAATTTCTACCACATCCCACGAGATCGGCCGAAAGCCAAGAAGTCGGAGCTGGAAGAGTTCAGCATGCCGCCAGTCACCAGCCCACTCCTGCTCCGAGCCTGCAAGGTCAGAGGGCACATCTTACATATCACAAATGTCATAAATGTCACTTATAAAAATCCATGTTATCTATTGACATACTAATATGTTATCTGGCAAAATTGTCATTATTTCTATCATAATGTGCGTAGAATGACAGGAGGTCAAGGTCAGACACAGGAAACAGGATGAACTTGAAGGTCTCAGAATCTGGTGGGAGACAGCAGGAATTCAGGAAGCCAAGGATTGCATACTTCCCAAAAGTCTGAAATCTCCTATTTCTTGTTTAAAAAGTTTCCTAAGTGATTCAGAATTTGCATTCTAAATTTGATGTATTGAATGAAGACCTTTATTGTACATTTTGCCCCACTGGGCTAAAGACAGGTCACATATTGACAAAGTACCCCTTCCAAACCTTGGACACATAGTGGAAATACAGGGGAAACACAGGGGAAACACTCTGGACAGAAGAGGGTATGTTTCCTCTGTGTGTCCTCTCCTTTTTCCCTCTTCAGAGGGTCCCTAATGTTTGTTTTAGAGGACGTACTGTATAGTGGAAGGGTTTCCAATGTGTTTCCTTCTCGCCAATTAGAGACTGTGTTTCCAGAGTGTTTCCTCTGTGTGTCCTGGTAATTAATTACTCCTAGGAGCAGAGCCCAGCAAAGCTGAAGGACAGCAGGCTCCTGCCTTATCCCTGGGGCTTGGCATGGATGAAAAATCAATTATCCATGCACTGCCAAGGCATAGACAGAACAGTGAAGGAATGAATTGTGTAGTGGTGCCATGACAGACCACCTGACCATGTGGTCACACAAGTCACATGATACAGACTATCCTTTTTGTCCCTTACTGTGTGTTCTAAGGAACTAAAAGACCAATTCTCTTTCAAGGCAATGCATACCCATCCAGATACAGGTTTAGAAACACTGGTGATAGAACACAGTTACAAATGTACTTGATTTATAAATGATGACTAGAAATTCTGCCCCTTGTATTCCTTGTATAGGTATATATAACTACAGGCAAAAATTTGGAACACTGAAGACATTGTTTCATTCTGTATATATATGTAGGCGAGGGGCTGGAGTCTGTCTGACATTGCAACACAATTTCTGAGAAATGCTGCTGGGCTCTGCTCCTACGTAGGAGTGATTAATTTAAACCAAGACACACAGAGGAAACACACTGGAAACACAGTCTCTAATTGGCGAGAAGGAAACACATTGGAAATGATTTTCTGCTCCAGTCAGAATCCTGTGTTTCCATGGGCGGAGAAGTTGGTCACGGATTATCTAATAGTATATGTTTCCAGTGTGTTTCCTGTGTATTTCCTTTGGTCACACAGTGGAAACATAGGGGAAACACATTCTAGTATGTTTCCACTGTGTGTCCTAGGTTTGCGAGGGACATCATCAATGTTGATAATAAAACGGCTATAGTACACAAGTACGTTCAACTTCCTCTCGCTTTCTGGTAATCTTATAAATGTAGTTGGCTGTATGAGTAGTTAGAGCTGGTTTGTTAAAGACTACAAGGAATATAAATTTCTCTATACTATTCAAATACTAGTACTTAAAATGGGAGTATTTGCTTGACACAAAATCGAAAAGAACGTTTCTTTCGCTGTCATACATGGAACAATCCACAATAAAATGTACCTCGTCTTCTACTTTACCTAAACTACAATATTGGCAGATTCTTTGCTCTAGAGGAGTGCGGTTATGTCTTCCTGATTCAATTCGCAAATTGTGACAACTGATTCTTAGTTTAGTAATGGCAGATCTGTGACGTACATTTGCGATCTTAAGATAATCTTCTTCGTTATATGAGTGTCTTAATAATCTGTATGTTCGAAGTTTATTTTTTGAATTAGCAACTCTATTATCGTTGTGGATTTCGGAAAGGAATGTTTGGAAATGAATATCTTTTAAACGCTGATAAATTGCTGAGATAATTTGGGGCGTATTTGAGCCGATTGATTGAACGTTTTGCCAGACGAAAGAATAACCGCATTTCTCTAGACTGTTGCGTACACCAGACGCCCAACACTTGGTACCCGTAGCTTCTAACTCTACTTGACTCAAGAGGGCGTCTGCTTGAAGACTACCGGCAGGCACGTCCTTGCAAAGACGAAGAAAATACTTAATGCTGTTTAGGGAGGCTTCCAGGTGAATGGGGTATCTCCCTAATTCAGCTCGTGCAGCAAGGTTAGAAGTGGTTCTAGGAACATTGAGTGAATACTTACGAAATTTTAAATGTACATTTTCAATTGGACAAGATTTTAAGTTTTTGAATGCCCCCCATATTTCGGATCCGTAAAGTAAAGTGGGCTTAACACAAGTGTCAAAGAGTTTGTTTTTAACGGCTAATGATGCGTCAGCTTTATCTAATGTTTGTCTTATTCCAAATAATGCTTTTAGGCCCTTGCTGTACAAGTGTTTGTTGTTGGCTTTGAACGTGCCCGCGGAGCTTACAATGACACCAAGATAACAATAGGATGCTACTATTTCTATCACATTATTATCAAACAAAAAGGAAGAATGTACTGGTAAGTGGCCACCCTTAGTAAATACAATTACTTTGGTCTTTTTAAGGTTTACCTTTAACTTCCAGGTTTTGCAATATTGTTCTAATCTAGATAGGGATGACTGTAAGCCGCGTTGGGACTCTGAAAATATGACTAAGTCATCCGCATATAAAAGACATGGAACATTCGTACTGTGCAAAACAGGGGAGTTACAGCAATCATGATCAAATACAGTTGTAATGTCACTTATAAATAAATTAAACAGTGTCGGAGACAGATTACAGCCTTGACGAACCCCACAGTTAGTTACAAATGTTTCGGTAAGACCACATTTAGTTTTAATACAATTAGTAGTTTTTGAATACATATCCTTTATGGTTGAAAGAAAATTTCCTCCTATACCAAGTCCATTCAATTTGGATAGAAGTCCTTCTCGCCAAACTGAGTCGAAAGCTTTGCTGAAATCCACAAAGCATGCATAAAGACGTGTGTTTTTGCTGAGGTATTTGCTAACCAGAGTAGTTAATACAAAGAGATTATCAGATGTTCTATAATTTTTTCTGAAACCGGCCTGTTGTGGTTTGAAAAGGCTGTTCTGCTCTGCATAATTAACAAGACGAGAATTTAGAATAGAAGAAAACAGCTTTCCCAGACAACTTACTATGGAAATCCCCCGGTAATTGTCTGGGAGAGAGGTATCACCAGATTTGTGAATGGGAACAATGTGGCTGAGTGACCACTCCTGGGGGTAGTATCCATTTTGCAAACAAGAATTAAAGATATGGAGCAGTGGTTTTTGTAAGATTGTTTTACCACATTTTAACATTTCGTTAATAACCATGTCATTACCACTCGATTTCTTATTCTTTAATCTAGAGATGGCTATATCTAATTCCTTAGCTGTTATCTGTGAGTCCAACATGGAGTTCTCTGTAGGGGTAAAATCAGTTTGGCGGTTTTCGGTGGTAGGGGAAATAGTTTCAGGGTCAAGAATTGTGTCAGGAACAGATGAAGATTTGTCTACTTTAATTGAAATGTTTTAACCAAGCCTCGTTTGATATATCAGGACTGTCTTGTGATTTTCCTGATTTTAGTTTATTTAGTAAGCTCCAAAAAGCGCTTGGATTTTGTTCCCTCAAAGAAGAGAGCTGATTCAATATTTGTTGATTAAATTCCCGTTTTTTCCTCCTTATTAATTTCCTGTACTCTTTTTTCTTTTTAAAGAAACTTCCCCTCACATCTGGGTTAGATGGATTTTTTTCTAATAGGAAAGACAAATTTTTTAATTCACGTTTCAAATCATTGCAACTTTTGTCATACCATTTTTTATTATGTTTCTTTTTGGATTTTTCCTGTTTATTTTCAAACGCAATGATTTGTATCCGACATCTCTCAACACTGAACTGAAATTAGAGACATAATTTTCAATTTCATCTGTTGTTTTTGGGCTACTTTTAACCGAAAGAGCTTGCAATCTGTCTACGATTTGGGGTTGGCTAAGGGATTGGATAAATTGTTCTGCTGAGTTTTCACTCCAATGAAATCTTTTTGGAAGGGGTTTTTGTGTTTGTGTTTCTGTGTTTATCTTTGTTGTAGAAATGTAATGATTTTGTACGCATTGTAACCGATAACATACAATGATCAGAAAAGATGGTTAAGGGATTTACTCGGAAGGATAAGATGTGTTCAAAGAGAGGTTGACTGCAGATAACATAATCTACCGTGCTGCTACCTTTTGGTTGATGACAAGTGAACTTGCCCTGCAGATCGCCAGCTACTCTGCCGTTAAGTATTTTAAGGTTTCCCTGAACACATAAGTCGACAATAAATCTTCCAAATTTGTTGGGGGGCGCTCTGTCCATGTGCTGTCTATCTGAAGTGTGGGTTAAGACGTTGTTTAAATGGTTATCGTCAAGAGCGTCGTTGTCAATGGAGTCTTGTAGATTTCCCAGCCGAGAGTTAAGATCACCGCCGAGAAGAATAAACCCCTGGGTGCTGTATTTAGCAATTTCGTCCTCTAGTATTTCAATTACATGATTTTCAGCATACTTATGAGTTTTAGATGCACTTGGACTAATATAAACTGAACAGACAAATAGGTTTTTTTCTAATCCTAACAAGGTCCTGTCTATTTGAACCCAAAGGACATCTGTTGATTTAGATGGTAAATGTTTAACAAAACGTTGGTATTGTTTTTTGAAGAAGAAAATTATACCCCCCGAGGCGCGCTTTGCGCGCTTACTCTTCTTGCGATGTAAATGGAAATGGCTGTAATTTTGATATGTTAATTTTGTTTTATCGGTACTCCAGGTTTCCATAAGCGAGATGAAGTCAAATGTGTTAAGTTTATACAAAAATTCTGAATCCTCTAATTTGGTGCCCAGACCATGGACATTCCAAAAACAGAAGTTCATGTTCCTCTAGGGAACATCGTACGCGTATTTTCAAAGATAGGCTAAGCTAGATGGTATATTGTGTCTTCACCCTAGTCGAACTAACAACATATTACTCAAGATGTGTAAACTATTACCTCCATTTGTGTAAAGACTTTTTTTTTCAGAAGGGAGTTACTACACATGTGCTACCTACCCTCAGTTATAACAAGTTAACTATGACTAACAATCTAACGACTTCATATATTACAAAACTAAGCATTCTGACAAGTTCAAGATTTTAGCAAGAGTAAAATAGTAGAACTTATAATGTTATTTACGAACAGAGTCCGATACAAGTCCTACCACATGGTGGGCATCGGTGGCCACACCATATGCCATGGCCAGGGCGGCGGGCTCGTCCGCGGTGGTTGGCGGGGCAGGGTTGGGATGCTTGTAGGAGGAAATCCCCATGGCGCGTTCGGTAGGTGAAACATGGGCGGGCTCCAGGGTCTGAGCGGCGACGGGCTCCAGGGTCTAGGCGGCGG